TCGTCTATGGTTTTTGAAATTATTTCGTAGTTCATGGGGAATCTGTCGGCCGAACTTGTGCTCGCAATCTGAGAGACCCACGTCTGTTGCAGGTTTTGATCCTCTAAATCTAGTTTTACCTGGAAAATAATACCTTCTTCAGAGAGATTTGAGGGGTCAGATGGTGAAGTAAGTGGGGAAGTCAAATCGAGAAATTTTTAGGAGCAGAAAGAAGTCATACTCTAGTTTATTATCACCATTTCATCGGAAAACACGACTCCGTGAGTCTCGATGGGCAGAAACACCTTCTCGAAGGTTGAAGAACAAATCTCCTCGATGTAGGCAGCGGGTAGAAGGCGATCGGACTCCTCTTTCAGTACCACATTTACGTAATTTTCTTCCTGGAATGATTAAAGTTATTGCCTCCAACGACTACACATTATTCCGCGAAACATTCGAAAATTAATAAATTTGTAGTGTATAAATATAATTCCTGGATACGTTTTTAAATTTTAACTCGTTTAAATCAAGGGTTTCAATTATTTCGGAGGGGAATAATTATCTAGCATTACTCACCATTGTTCTATTTGTCGACATTTCCTGGAAGTTGATATTTTTCATTTTAAAAATTTCCAACGATCCATTTCCTAGAACGTCAGTGATAAAATGTCAATCAACTCAACTCCAAGTCGTTTTTTACACTGACATTCAGTTTTTCATTCTATCAAAGACAGTCAGTGAATCTCGATGTACAATTTACTCATTGACATTTATTTTTAATATTGAATGTCGACGTCTAACCTCCACCGCACCAATCAGCTAAGAAAAAAAAAATATTACCTGGAGTCTATCAGCATCAACTTTACTCCAAAAAACCTCGTCTTTTTCTCTGCACAATTTCTTCTTGGAAGCTCTACACTTTGAACTGTTATCAATCATTTAACAATACGAGAAATTCAAAGTTTGGAAGAATAAAGGAACAATAAATGCGCCTTCTGCTTCTATTCGTGATGATAATATACTCCAACTGTGACAGAGACAAGCACCAGAACTGTAAACGATCTCTTCGTCATCTAGTCACTTCAGACCAAAGAGGATTGACTAAAGTAGAGTGAATACCTCCGCGATTTTATTTTTCTGACACCGTCGTGATGTACCGACTGAGTCCTTTTAAATTTTCACTGCTGCCATCTGAGTCCATCGTTTTATTTACACATTTCGGCACGATTGAAATTCGAGGATAATTGAGAGGCTAGATCGACCAAACAATAACTGAAATTCTACATTTTTGCATAATTATCAGGACTTAACATGAAAATTAAAACATTAAACTCGTGCTCATCATTTTTATTGAGTATTTGGGACTAAAATTTCAGTGATTATATTGTTGCTCCAAAATCTCACGTGAGTAGAAAATTTTGAGAGGGTATAAAACATCAATACTTCAGGGCTTTAAATAATTTCTTATTTCTTTTCCACAGATTTATTTTGAATCCAATTTCCAATTCCAAATTTCAGTTTGCTATTGGGAAAGAATACATAATGTTCAAAAATACATTTCAAAGTGGATTTTTATCGATATTGTACAGCATTGGCAGTAAGCCTCTTCAAATTTGGGACAAGAAAGTGAGAAATGGACATATCAAGAGAATCACTGATAATGATATTCAGAGTTTAGTGCTGGAAATACTTGGAAGTAATGTCAGCACTACCTATATCACGTGCCCAGCTGATCCCAGGAAGACTCTAGGGATCAAATTACCATTTCTCGTTATGATTATTAAGAATCTCAAGAAGTATTTCACATTCGAAGTGCAGGTATCAACTCAATATATCAATACGTAATTGAAATCAATTTGAATAATTCTCGTTTATTGATCTGATGATTAAATAATACATTTCCAAGAGTACAATGTTTTACAATGCGTATTCATTGGATGATTAATAGCTTTTTGAATTTATCAATCAGGTTATCGATGACAAAAATGTACGGAGAAGATTCAGAGCGAGTAATTATCAATCAACAACCAGAGTTAAGCCATTCATCTGCACAATGCCGATGAGACTGGACGATGGATGGAATCAGATACAATTTAATCTCGCTGATTTTACGAGACGGGCTTACGGAACCAATTACGTTGAAACACTGAGAGTACAAATTCACGCGAATTGTCGGATTCGTAGGGTTTATTTTTCGGACAGACTCTACTCCGAGGACGAGCTACCAGCTGAGTTCAAACTTTTCTTACCCATTCAGAATAAGGCTAAATGTTAATGAGGCTTGATGTTGCAATTACAATGGAAATATACATGTTTTATACTTAGGAAAATATTTGGTTTTCTTTATTTCCATTTATATATTTTTGAGATAATTATTTACAGTCTCTTTTAGGTTTTACTATTGCTCGACATTTCTTCCTCACTCTTCTTCATTTTTTTCTTCTTCTTTATGGGTTTCTGTACAATTTTTCTCGTCAGCATCTGAGTTTGACAAATTTTGTCGACACCTTTGATGGTTTTCTTTCTAAATTTATAAAATTCGGAAAAAGCATCGAATATTTCCTTTGGGGTTTCGTTCGCCTCGTAGTGGCGATCTTGCAAGTAAATCCTGCGCAATCGAAAATTGGGAAATAATATTACACGATTTAAACACATGTAGTCGGTGAGATAAACTTCTTTGCATAAACTCCGAAGGTCTATTTCCAACATATTCCAACCATCCTCCAGGACGAAGGGAAGGAATGCAGTAGTAGGCGTGATTTTCGGAATTTTCTCGCGAATCGCGTTTGTTATCAGGATGAATCGCCTCCGGAATTGCAGCCTATCCGTGATCTGAACGAGCAAACACCATAAGATCATCAATTAAATGAAATAATAACTTGAAAAACGAGTACGAAAAAAATTAATTACTTCCTTAATGAATTAAAATAGAAATCGTTACGAGAATTCATTTAAAAACCTAATTGAACACCTGAAATCATGAAGAAATGATAATCAAACCTGGAACTCAATTTTTCCTTCTTGTTTAAGATTTTTCATCACGAAGACGAGAATGGGTAATTTAATCTGGAGAAATTCTTCAGAACTCGAGGGACAATGGATGCACGTGGGGAGAGAATCCTTGGGGATGCTCCCCTCGGTTTTTCCGATTATTTCAATAACCCTATCACCTTTCAACGCTTCATCCACGACCCTTTTCACACTTCCATCCAATGCTATACTTTTTCCCCATAGACTCAAGGGTCTGTCAGCTACACTGCTTAATAATGACTCGAAACCCTCCACGTGGAGCATCACAGAGAATTTTTCAAACAAATTCTAATTAATCGATTATAAATTCATAAAAACGTTTTATGAATTTATAATCCGATTTTCTCTTGTTTCAGGAATTAAAATATTTCAACTCAATAGTCCAATGTAATTGAATTTTCAATTGGCAATTTATTTATTCAAGAGAAATTCTCTGACTGATGAGCGTTTTGACCTCGAATTTCAAATTTGAGTTTTTAAAAATAATTTTGTAACATTTTGGGTTTTTGTCTCGGATAAATCCGTAATAGGTTTATTACCGAATAATTTACTGTCTCAATTTGAATTTTCGATGGGTGTCAAGTGATTGGGATATGGAAAATTATAATGATGCACATGGGCAATTTAATCCTGCGCCAGACAAGGTAGAAACAAACGATGTCACACATTGCCGCACGCATGTGCAGGTGGTATTAATTGGTCATTATTAAGTATTGATTTTTTTTCTAACGAGTGGGTGGTATGGCACCTCCTGCCGCAATGATTCTTTTATATCCGGGGCTTGTATTTAGAGCTGCCATCAACTACTGCCTC